GAAAAGAGAGAGGGATACAATGAAGCAATATTAATGATAAATTGGCAAAAGTTGATTCAAAATTTCGTTAACACTTATGAGATTTTATGATGATTGAAATGAACGTATATTTTAATAAAATTACAAAGTTATAAAAAAAATTGAAAAGATTCGAGCGATTTGAAGAATAAAAATATCAATAATATCTAATGTGTTATAATGAATCAGTGATCGTTTAATGTATTGTACAATGATTTATAAAGGCAAACAAGTTCTGAGCAAGAAATTATAAAGATAGAGTAATTAAGACAATTAAATAACACGTATGTTACAACACTGTCGTTTTTATCTGTTGAACAACATCAGTTTTGCATCTCAGTTTGCGATAGAACGAAAAGAATTGTGTAGATGAAATAAAGCAGCTCGAGTGAACTTTGATATATGATGAGCAACACATATTTTAAGCATTGAAACATGAAAATAATTACCAGTATCGGTACACGGCTATCATTTCTCGCAATCTGATATCTATCTAAAGTTCAAATCGACGTCTGAATAGAAATTACCAATGCAGGAATTCGATGTAAAGGTTTAATAAAGAAAGATTCATATGTATCGTTGATTAGCATATTAATGGATAAACAAGTTTTTTTTTTTAATTATCCTGATTTTTATCCAGCAATGTAGATTAAAAATTCTCGCGTGAAGGTGTAATTTTGCTTCCATTTCAACGATTGCGATTGCAAATTTTCGAATTAAAGATCACCGAATACTCGAATTCGAATGATTCGAAATTATGGAGGAATTATCGATCGATCGATTTTGTATTTTAGAAAAATAGATTTTTAATTTCTTGTATCAATCTTCTATAATATATCCATAAACATTCTACAATGTTCCAAATTATACGTCACAAATTTTTAAACTATGTTATTAACAAGATAGAACTTATTTCTGATTTCAATGTATTTTAATGGAGGAATTATTATTTTATTTTATGAAGGAATTATCGATCGATCGATTTTGTATTTTAGAAAAATAGATTTTTAAAAATATGAAATGTCATATTTTTTTGTATCAATTTTCTACAACGTATCCATAAATGTTCTACAATATATTTGCTTCCATTTCAACGATTGAGATTGCAAATTTTCGAATTAAAGATCACCGAATATTGTCGATATTTCGAATTCGAATGATTCGAAATTATGAAGGAATTATCGATCGATCGATTTTGTATTTTAGAAAAATATTTAAAAATTTTGAAAAATATGAAATGTCATATTTTCTTGTATCAATCTTCTTGGTATAACGTATTCATAAACGTTCTACAATGTTCCAAATTATATGTCATAAATTTCTAAACTATGTTATTAACAAGATTGTAGAACGTATTTCTGATTTCAATGTATTTTAATGACCAAGAAATCAATTATATATCCGATCTTGCTTTCCAAACTCGTGTCCCCTCGAGCACAAACTATTATTAATACGTCAGAGATATTCCCCCTCCTGTAAATCCAAGTATTACAAGTATTATTTCTTCTGATTTAATAAACCGATAAATAATTATATCAACAAAATGTTAAACGCGCGTCAATAAATCCCCTTCACGGATCTATCATTCTCTTTCACTCTTAAGCAACTATGTAAATATACCGATTCGAAAAAATTAATCGCCATTCTGAATCACAAATCTTGAAAATAATAAACAGAAATAGAAAATTTTTACCCGAAAAAACTCTCTTCGACCGAACGAATTTCAAGCCACGAATCGAACTTTGTAAGAAATAAGTAATAAATAAAACCAGTCAACCAACGTCCATCCAAAAGAGGAAAGAAAGGGAGAAAAGGAGGCGAGTTGTAAACTTCAGAA